ATTAATAATAAATTAAAAAATAATATAATGCTATTTACCCAACAAGGCTGAGTAAAAAGTTTTAAACTCCTTCAGACCTTTCTTGCCGTGCGTCCCGTCGATATTATATGCAATTATTATTTCGGTTGTCAACACATAGGTTAAGTTTTTCATCATCGAATGGTTAAATAATGTCCTCATAGTGGTAATATGCCAAATATATTAATTATTATAACGTCTAGCATTATATTTACAAAGTTATTACTTACAAACAAATGAGTGTTTTCGGGAACAATTTTTGATTCAATTGGCCCTCAGTGTTTTTTATTGGAAAATATTGCTTTACCGAAATAAGTACGTTGTCTTGCCGTACTAACTTTTCTAATAGAATCTTTTGATGAGCAAGTGCAGACATCACAGCATCATTTTGAGTAGATACGGTTGCTATAAAGACATAAATTAACAATTAAAATATATATATTTATTTATTTTATAAAATATGAAAAAATTCTTACAATTACATTTTTTTTTTAAATTGTCCACGGTTTCTGAAAAAAAACAATAATTAATGGTTTGATAAACATATTTTGTATCTAAGTAAATTAATTTACCTTGCACAGTTTTCAGTCCCTCCACTAAGTATGTACAACGCTCGCATGCTGGAACTGGTTTCTTATCTACATAGAATAGAACATTTGCAATTTTTGTAGTTTATGTCTATGGTATATATTATTATTAATATAAAACTTACACGGTGTTGCTATGTTTTCCGAATCTCCTAAAACTATTCTCTTGATTTTCTAAAAAGTGTGATTTATTTACAGATTTACAGATTTATTTATTTACAGATTTTGTTATTTACAGATTAATTAATAGCACCCATGCAAAAGTGGCAGAAGTAGCATACTGTCATTATAACGAAGACCCATTAACTTACATTCTATTTTTTCTATAGGATAATAAACTTCCGTACTATCTAATGAGCAATCAGCTGTACATATACCCAATGTAAACGAATCGACCGGTTCACAAAAATAGCTTCTTAAATTTGTAAATTTTTTCCCTATAACAAATTTTTTGTCTTCAGAAAATCTTTGAATTTCTATTGGTTCATAAGGATTAATAAGGCAATAGCTGTCAGGTTGTTTTGAACCCAATATACAATCCTTGAAATAAAACATAAACCTTTGATTTTTAATTCTTTAAACCCATTGGGTTTATCTTTTCTGAGCAAGCGTTCTTCTGCTATTTGATTTACTAGTTGGAGTATGTGAGTCGGTTTTTTAACATATTTTTTCAGAGTCTGTAGATAATTTTCGAAATCGTACGCCGAAAAGCTTGAAAATGAACCTATTGATTTTATGCTTTCTGTTATGTAAAGTAAATTGTGTACGTTGTATGTCAAACTGGAATTTCCGAAAATTGTGGAAAAGTTTTGAACAAACAACGATAGCAAATTTTCAGCAGTACCTAAAATTTTCATATATATTATTTTGGACAAAATAGCATCCTACATTAGCAAAGCAAGAGCAAAAATTCATAATAAAGATCATCATGAACATTGTCTTTCAAAACAAGAACTCCTGTATAAAGAAGAAATTGACGAAACTCTGTTGCTTTCCAGTTTGAAATTTCGTTGAATGTTCTGGGCTTTCTTACAAATTCCTTTGGTATATACGGTTTTAATGATTCTAAAAGTTCTGACATTTCTAATTTTTTTATCTTTTCAACTTTCAAATTTACTTTATCTTGTAATATTCTTAATAAGTATTTACGCATTACCCCCAAATCTAGTAAATGCATACCATCTAATGCTACTTGACTTATCATTTTCAAATCTATGTTTTCAAATGGTGTCTTAGAATTTTTAAATTTATGTAAGTGATGTGTCATATATTTTCTATTTAAGAAATCACTGTCAGTAATAAGATCACCTGACACAGAACTGTATACTAGCACATTGTTTTGTTTCTTTCCGATTTGCGTACATTTGCTGCAGCCGTGCGAAGATCCATGGCTAGGTGCACCGCATATAAAAGCTCTAGCAGGCGCATCGCATACTAATGCTCTAATATTAACTTTTATTGTTTTT